GTTTTAATGAATGAACACAATCACAATTTATATAAAGTGAGGGTCATCACATGTTTTTCTAGGAGCTTCTCTAATCAAAAGTATTTAGCTTCTAGGTTTTATTTTTATTATATTAGTCTCTACTATTCTGTTTTTATATTGTTTCAAATTTGAAAAACAAATCTGAATGAAAATTTGTTTTCTTGGCTCCCATATTTTGATTCTGAAAGATGGGGAAATATTATGTTCTTAGAACATGGGTGTGTGATATCGTTAAAGTTTTGGCAGCTACCATTTGCAGTAATTAACTTACGATTAATTTAGCGTGATTGTTTGTGCCAGGTTATACTCTCTAATTAGTAAAGCACTTCAGATGTTTCAGCTTGCAAAAGTACAAGTTACAGTTTATAACATTATTGGTTCTTTAGGAATCAGAAGTGTGAGCATGGTCATACAAACCAGTTTTCAATTTTCTCTGATTTCTCCAGAACCTTAACTGTTTTGCCCTGAGTAATTTTAATAAGAACATTGAGTACGAAGGTACTCATTTTGGGCAAAATCTCCCTCAGTGACATACCCAAACTGTGGCTATAATTGGATTTTTGAGTGTAAAGCTTCTATATTTTCCCATAATAGGTGGCATTTACATTTTACATTTAGTTTACATTTTCTTCTTGAACTTATAAAACTTCAAGTTTTAATTCATCTTTTCAAAAAAAAACCCAACTTGAAGCAGGATAGGAAATCTTTGATATTGGCTGCACATTCATTCAGGGCCCAACCTTACTATCTTTCCTTTCATCAGTAATCACCGTGGGCCCTTTGTTTCCGCATTGCCTGACGCATGCCCGATAACATCTCCAATTCATGGTTACACTAATACAGTTTGCATACATCAGGTAATTGATTCCACCTTCTAGAGTTGCTGAGTCACAACACCGGAGTCACAGACATCTTTGCTTTACCACATAACGGAAGTAGACGAATCATTTCAGCTCCCCTGCCCCAAGCTGTCTCTGTGTTAGCTGAATGTAGGTCATCACAGATAACTGCAGTTGACACTTCCTCCCGCTTTCCAGATTTAACCTTTGCCTCTCCAACACACGTCTCTCGCTCCCATCATTTCAAAATGTGCCTTCAAATAGAACAAACATTTTGAACTAAATAACACTGGCTCTGTGAAACACCTTTACAGTCTACCAGCTGTGGAATCATACATTTTCTAGATAAGGAACACAGGCTCAGAGAAGTTTAACCAGTTTGCTCAAGCCTTATATAAACAAAGCCAGTGGTTTCCAAACTGCCTGAATATCGGAATCACCTGGAATCACACATACAGATTTCCAGGCCCCATCTCTAGTTAGTTTCATGGGTGGATCATGAGTGTTTTCCCACTACAGTCTATTATGTGTTATTTGTGTCTTATTTTTATTTTCTAGGTGGACTTCAGCAAAGAAAGGAAACTAAACCAATGTACTTTATTTTAATAAGTCGAGGAATATGTGAACGGTAGTGTAAACAGTAACTTATCTTGAGCCGCCTCTTTTCTCTGAAGGAGATTTTATCAGAAAATGCTACGGGAAGAAAAGCCAAGACTGGCACAGTGGCTGCGGTGGTGGGCTTGTCAACTGCCCTGGCAGGGAACTAGGAAGAAGCCCTGACTTACCGCATTTGCTCATTTCCATGGTATAAATACTCCCACCATGGCAAATTTCAAACTACTGATGGCTTAATAGCCTGCTCACAAAATTTCTAAATATTTAACAATCAGCCCCAAACTGTGCCAATTGTTAAACATACTACTAGGTTTAGAGTGTATTGGGGGCGGGGGGGATGAACGATTTCCCAACATTATCTAAACTGCCCATTAGGTGGTTCGAATTGGTTGGGAACTCCCCCAGAATCCCTCTGATGGTCTCATGCTCTGACCCCCAAAGGTGCCTGAGTGCCCTCCAGTCCTTATCTCCCACCCAGTTTCCAACCGCATGTTCTGATATAGGTCTGGGGCACCCTGATGGCCTAGGATGGGACTAGCAGATGGAGCATTTAGTGCCCAGGTGGCAAACACAAGGCCAAATCCGGCCCTCTGCCTTGTTTTATCCAGCCTGGCACCTGGTCCCTACCCGGCAGCAGTGCCGAGCTCTCGAGTAACTGTTAAGGAGTAGTTACATTTGTAAAATCCTAAAATTATTTGGCCCTTTGAAGGCAACCGTGAGGCTGATGTGGCCCCCAGTGAAAATGAGTTTGACACCCTGGGCTAGTGGAGGAGAAGTGGACGGCATCTTTAGTAGTAGGATGACGGCTCTTTCCTCCTTACCTGCTCATAGCAGGGGGAGTACCATAAGGGGGCTACACTCCACTTGAGAGGCTGCTATCCTTGACAAGCCTGAAAGACCAGGGTGAGAAGAAACACAAAATACATCGTGTTTTTAACTTGAGAGAAAAAAAAAAGAGCTGAGCCTTTCCATGTCCCCCTCACCATAGGAGAAAGACACAGTCAAAAGCAAGTGCGGGATCAACATTAATGTGAAGCTGTCCAGCAAAAGGCTGGAGGTACCACTGGCCTGCTTTTAATTCATGAGTTACACTAGAGAAACGGAGTGGCTTCTCGAAGCTCCCATGTGGCCAGGCCCAGCAGGGCACAACCAGAGCTCATCCAGTGACAGAGACTATTCTTTCCCCAAGTAGACTTTGTGCACCAGACTCCTCCAGGGAAACTGAGTGATGATGGCAGTCGGACATGGTGTGGGCCCCTGAGCCCACGCTACCACGCTACCACATGTAAAAAGCATCAAAAACACATTCTAAAACTAACGCTACCACGCTACCACGTGTAAAAAGCATCAAAAACACATTCTAAAACTAAATACTGTAAGTGATTGTAGGGTCACTTATATTTTAGATTACTTCTTTGGTAAACTTCCGGAAGTTGGGAGAAATATTTTCTGAGTGTTTGTACCACAACGAAGGCATAAAATCCACCCTTGCACTCCCTGAGTAGCCAAACACCGCACTGCTCTGGATAACATGTGTTCCATGTGAGCTCGGCTTCCTTCTGGCTGAACCCATTTGTACAATGTATGTGCATGCCCATATACTCTTTTTTTCGTGACTAGAAAGGTAGATGTTTGTTTCATTTGTCTTCTGTGAAGGCAAAGTTAAAATTTGAATTCCCAATGAATCAACCAGAGAACTGAATCACAGTCTGACTCTCACAACCAGCCATAAGATCTTGGTCCAGTCATTTAATGAGTATTTTCCCATCTGTAAAATGAACGTATTTATGCTTAAGTCTGAGGGTAACCTTTCCTACCATGTACTAAGTAATTTATCATGTTCTTTATCCTTAATTCTCAAAGTCATCCTTCAGGGGTTTTTAAGAGTTCAGATTCCCAGAGATCCAGGGATGAGAGCGGAAATGAACATGCAGGCTCTGTATATGCATATTTTGTGCATTTTTACCTGGTTTCTCAACCAGGGACACATGGGAATCTCAGCGTGAAGGGTGCAGATGGAGGGAAGGATAAAACTGGGGCGATAGGTTTGTGAACTTTGGAAAAACTTCCATTGTGATTTTAATGTTCTCTCCCCAGTTCAGCTTGTGAAATACCAATTTCTACAAAAATTACCACCAGTGCATAATATTGATTTGGGTATATACTGCCTGGAGGGATGGAATGAACGGCAAAAAGAGATGAGGAAACTTTTAGGATAATGGAAATGTAATGTTTCTTGGTTGTGGTGCTGGTTTCACAGACGTATACAATCTTTCCAAGCTCATTGAGCTCTAATTTTTTTAATGATTGCAGTTTATTGTACGTGAAAGTATATTTTAATAAAAATTTATTAAAACATTGAATTAACAGTCCCAGCTTCTAAATACCAACAAATCTCACGGAATATCTCTCAAGTAAACTACTTACCCACCGATTCAAGTGCATATCTTTTGAATTGCTCTACAGTGTAGTGGTAGAAAAATACTGACCCCTCAAGACTGCTCTCTCCCCTGGGCCACTGAGCAGGGCTTTTGAGAGGCAACAAGTAGTACGCTGCAAGGATTCACTGTCACACAGACACTGGGGTAATGGCCTTGACCTCATGAGAACCACACCATAATCCATCTACCACCCAATACATCAAGTTCATGTGGAGTGACTTACTGCAGTGGGACAACCCAGACTTTACAGTCGTAGGTAAGATAAACTGGGAGTTGTGCGCAGTTCCCAGCAAGCTAGCTGTAACTCGTTCCTTTACTGTAGATCAGTGGTCAGCCATCGGAAACTCTGTCCTGACCAACTTTCAGTCTCTAATTTACTTTACAGTATGCCTCAGTATATATTGTACAGAAGCTGAGATGATTTGTATTCTAAAAAAAAAGAATCCAATTAATTTCTAACTTATTTCCATCTTTAGTGCCTTGGTAACTTTTTAAAAAATCAACAAACTATTTTAACACATCAGTGGAATGTAAGCCAATCCGTGTATGCCCTCAGTTCTTTATAACCCCATGATAATGCTAAGATCGTTAACAAACTATCTTACTGCAAATCAATGATTTTGTACAAGCACTTTTGACCAAATAAAGCAATTTAGAACAGATTGTTTATTTGTTTTCTAACCTATAAGCACAAATAATCAGTTATCTCCGGTACCTTTTATGTACTAGTGTAAAGATTTTATGTATTGTTTTATTATGAAGTGTATATTTTTTAAAAATCAAATTTATCATGATTTGCAAGATAAAGAGTAAGAAAACAGAATATGTTCTACAAGAGAAGTAGTAAAAAAGTTTATGTTAAATTTTTTATTACTATTTATTTTTCAAGTACAGTTTTCTGCTTTGATTCTGCCTTGGAAATTCTATATTTTTCCTACATTTATGCAAAGATATTATGGGCTTTTGGATTGCTACAAAAGAACTATAACATTTAACTAACCCTGTTATGAGTAGAAAGTTTCTAAAAGATAATTATATTTTCCATGTAATAACATTCTGGAGAAACCAAACACTTGAAATAAACAGAAGTGAAATACTTGATTTTTATTTTGAAATGTCTACAAAGTTTTACTTTTCCATTATACAAATACTTTTTCAAAATTCAGACATTATTTAAATGTAAGCCAGTCCTCATACAAATAGAATACACACAAAGATAAAAATATACATATTCTTTCAGCAAACTTTGTTACATAAATAAGAAAAATATATACAGCTGGTCTTTTAAATCTAAGATAAAGTATCTTAACATTTAACCACACACAGAAGGTACTAAAAAACACTACAGGAAAACTTAAAAGCACAAAAAATTCAGTTTATGACATCTACAATTATAAAGATAATAGAACCAATCTTAGAGTAATATATATGAGGTCTGTCCAGAAAAAGTCCAGCCATTGTTAATATAAAGAGAACGGGTTTTGTGACATCGATTTAACCAGGCAGCCAAGGAGAGTGGACTAGAATGTGCATGTGCGAACGATGACCTCACTGTGTTAGTCAATGGAGGTAACTGACTCCATTGAGTGAGTGTGTGTACTGCATGACCATCACATCCAAATTGACTGAGCGAGTACAGCAATGAATCTGCATCAAATTTTGCAGTAAGCTTAACATTCCTCAGCAGAAACTGTCTGGATGATTCAGAAAGCTTTCAGGAACACTGCAATGAGTACAATGCGAATAAAAATGTAGCGTAAGTGCTTCAAAGATGGTCAAGGCTTTGTTGAAAGTGATCCATGTTCTGGAAGGTCTGCAACAAGCAGAACGCCTGAGAATGTTGAACATGTTGATGGGCTACAATCGACAAAGATAGGCGACTGGCAGTGTGAGAACTAGAAGCTGATCTGGGGATTCCCAAAACTACTGGCTTTTCCCAAAACTGAAATCTCTTCTGAAGGGGAAGAGATTTCAGACCATCGATGAGATCCAACAAAATATGATGGGGCAGCTGATGGCAATTATAACAAAGGATTTTGCAGAGTGTTTTGAACAGTGGAAGAAATGATGGGAGAACTGTGTGAGGTCTTCCCCTGCTTTGAAGGGGACTGAGGCATCATTGTCCTACATACAGCGTTTCTTGTATCTTGTACCTTCTTCAATAAATGTCTCTATTTTTCATATTGCATGGCTGGATACTTTCTGGACAGACCTTGTACTTCATATCAGGATCTTAATTTTTACTTCACTTTGTTCACTTTTTAGAATATTCTCTAGGTAGGTAAAATTCATGATTCTACCAGCTATCCATGACACCTAATACAAAAGTTAAAACGTGAAGAACTATGTAATCTATGTCTTTATAATTTGAAATAGATGTAAAAAGAATTCTTTAAAAGTTAAATTTGTATCAACGTGTGTTAAAATTTTCCAAGTAAATTGAATTGGCTATTGAAAAATCAAATAATTCTCCTTAAGTGGGAAATGTTAGGGGAAAAAACCCAAACACTTGAAGAGCCCTAACATAGCAAAGCTTATGAGGAAAAATTGTGCCAGTGGTTCCCTAGACAAAAGTGATTCGGCCAGGTGTATGTTTAATTATGTTTTGCCCCAGAAATTCTCCTTCCTTTTCTGAGCTCGTGCCAGAGTTTGAAAAGCCTGGAGACTAGAGGCTGCAGAGCGAGCAGAAATCTCAGATAATCTGTCCTCATCTGTAATGAAAGAATTATTGTCAGTGCAATATTATCTTACAGAAAAGCATCAAGCTTTGTAATGTCAATACTGACTCTGACAGAAAAAAAGTATCTACTAAAATATAAGCTGTTAACATTTTCAGGATAGTCCGCGGTAATTTTTCAAGTTGACCATGTTTAGAAGTCAAACATTTAAATGTTAAATGGGCATTCTGTTTCCTTCCTGAAGTCCCACAATGTCATTACCTCAACACATGGCTTATGATTTCACTACTACCTGGAAACAATTCATCTTCACACTGTCCTGTCCTACTTTAAAAAGTACAGCAAAAGCATTTTAGAACTTCTTAAAAATAAAATGCCAGAGCTTAACGTGGTACTTACATCACATTTCTAAAATAATCTTACTTAATGTAGAAATAATATTTAACTTTAAAATGCTACCCTTTCATTATTACTGAAATTCCTCACTCTGAGTAATCAAATCTACTATAAGATTATTTGTGAACATTGTTCTTCCATTAAAAACAGAAATGGGTTCAAATTGTCCAGATATTTGCATTTGAAAATGTAACAACTTGATTTCTATCTCGTTCAGTTCTGAAAAAAGTCCCAAACTTGCCAAGAGAAAAGAAAACCTTTAATGTACATGAACTTAAAATATATAAATTATTCATTCAAATTAATTTTAAATCCAAAATTTATAAATTCAATCATTTCATACTTCTAAGGATTAATTCAAATTGTAATTTCAATTGTTCACATCAAGAATTCAAGATTCCTCTTGCCACTATTAGAAGCAAGTGAATTTGTCATCATGAAAACTACACAGGGAGAAAACATTTATTTTCATATTTTTCTTGAGAGTTGAAAATTGACACTAATATACACACATTTGGAAAAATGATGGATATAATGCTAGGCCATATTCCTGAGCCCCCACCTAGACGGGGTAGAGAACAAAAAGGGGAGGGACCTCAGTGTGATATGAGGCTCAATTTCTTTTCATCTAATTGCCCCGGAGATAACTTCACCCCCTCACAAGATTCCAAGGATACAGTGAAGTAACATCTGTGAGAGTACTTTGTAAAGTCTACAGTGCTAATCAATTGTAAGATCATTATACTATTATAAGTGTCATATAATAAAACCTCATACTTTTTTATCTTGTGTTACAGACTATGGAAATACCTTCATCATTAAAGGCTTCATGCCGGGGTAACTGGAAATTGTTCTTCCTTGCTTTTCCAACTTAAAAAGAAAGAAACAAGAAGAAATTATCTTTCAAAGCTACCCAACAGTATATCATTTACAAAAACCCTTAGTGAAAGTAGGCTGTCAAAATTTTATTAATTTTAAATCTTTTATAGAAATTACTATCGAAGGGCCATTAATTCATAATGTGTTTATTATTAACAAATGTACATAACAATGGATAACCTCCTAGAATTGTTTTCAATGATTATATTGCTTTTCCAAATTTAAAAGAATGTAGCAGGGTTCTGTTTAAAGATACAGATAAAACACATAGATTTACAAATATGATATAAACCCATAGGAAAGAAAATGGGAGACAAGAACAAGCAACAAAATTTTAGAAAGTGGAAAGCAGATGAAGCAAGTTGAATCCTAAGGCAGCAGAAGAGGAAAACCAAGAAGCAACCACTTTGCTCCCCTAATGGCTCAGCATGTGGGAGTCCTGAGTAGCACTGAGGTTGGAGTGACCCTAGGACTGGACCAGGAAACTGGTTGGCTACTGAAAACATCGGGGGAACACTATGTATAGCATATGAGTGTCTGATCACTGTGCTGTACACCTGAAACTAATACAAAATATTAAAAGCAACTATAACTTAAAAATAAAACAGACCTCCTAGATCTTTCTATAAATTTGCACAGGTGGGTGACTGCCCATCTCTCAAAAGAGAAATGGAAGTTTCATCTGTAAAGGTTTATCAAAGCTACTGACTAACAGATACCAGGTTCACCTGCGGGCCAGGGTGTCCACATTCAAAACAGAGAGCTTATATAAATTTTTTAAAACCCAGAAAAGGTAGAACATAAAAATTAGTAACCCTTTCAAATTAAAATAAAAAGATAGAGATGGCACACAAGAGAGGTAAGGTAAGAAAATAAGATTGTGGTCAGCATGTCCAATACCTGAATTAACACGAGTGCCAGGAAAAAAAAAAAAAACAGAAAATGAAAGGGAAGAAATTACTGACTAAATGATTTAAGACAATTTCCCAGAAGTGAGGAACTGAGTTTCCAGACTGTAAAGGTCTACTGAGTGCCAGCAAAATGAATGAAAAGACACGCACTGTAAATTTCAGGGCATTAGGTATAAAGAAAAAATCCCAAAAAGCTGCTAGGAAAAGAAGCCACACATGAAAGATCAAAAATAAAAAGTGCATCCAATTTCACAAAAGTAATAGTGTAAGCTAGAAAAGAGCAGAGCATGCCAAATGAAACTAAAGGAAAACAATTTATGCCCTTGAATTCTAGATCCAGGCAATATTTGGCAATGTCTGAAAACATTTTTGGTTGTCACACCTGAGGAAGGGGTGCTAAGGCACCTAGTGCATCGCCTGTACACGTGTGGGAAAGAACTTGAGACACCTCTCACTTACACAAAAGTGAACTTGGGTACAGTACAATGAACTGCTCCAAAGTTGAGACTCTTCCTACTTAAAGAAATTACATTAATTTTTTAAAAACTAGATAGCATAATTCATTAACATAGAGTAGATACTTAGAGCCTTTGTACCTATGAGTGTAAGACTTTCATTTTAAAAGTCAAAAAATTGAAACCAAAATAATTACCGTTATGCTGAAATTCTGGGTCTCTCAGAGAGCCCTGAATTCGACGAGAAGGATGCCAGTAGGATGAAGCACAGGGTGGAGAAGGAGACTGTCCAGGTGTGTTTGTTGGACAGTCTTGAATTTCTGACACTGGATGAGCTGCCGCAGACAATTTGGGGATATTGATGTCAGAATCTTCCCTCAAAGGCAGGGGATCAGCTGTTGTCACACCAGCAGCTGGAGAAGTCACAAGGGCTACCGCATGACTTTCTTTCTAAATGACCAAAAAATAAAATAAAATAAAGATATATACATGTGTGTACATATGTGGTCTGTCTGGAAAAAGTCCAGTCATTGTTAGTAAAAGAATGGTTTGCGCCACATGGATGTAACCTGGCAGCCAAGGAGAGTGGACTGGAAGGCGCACGTGTGAACAAAGATGACTTCGCTGTACTAGTCAGTGGGGGTGGTAGACACTGTTGAGTGAGCATGTGTACTATGTGGCCATCGCATCAAAATGACTGAGAGAATAAAGCAATGAATCCGCATCAAATTTTGTGTTAAGCTTGAGCACTCCTCTGTGGAACTATTCAGATGATTCAGAAGGCTGCAGCTGTGGGCAACTGGTGATCGGCAGTTTCATCATGACAACACGCCTGCTCAAGTACCAAATCTCGTGTGGAGTATTTTGGCAAAACATCAAAAACCGCAGGTGACTCAGCCCCCTACAGCCCAGATTTGGCACTCTGCAACTTTTGGCTTGTTCCCAAACTAAAATCCCCTTTGAAAGGGAAGAGATTTTAGACTGCCAATGAAATTCAGGAAAATAGGATGGGGCAGCTGATGGCAATTGGGAGAAGGGTGTGAGGTCCCGAGGTGCCTACTTTGGGAGACTGAAGTGTTATTGTCCTATGTACAGTGTTTCTTGTATCTTGCATCTTCTTCAACAAATGTCTCTATTCTTCATAGCACATGGCTGGACACTTTATGGACAGATCTCCTATATAACTAAACCAAACATTTAAACACACACAAAAATATGTTGTTATAAACACAACAGGAGAAAATTTAGGGAAAACTTAGGTAACCTCCATATGGAGAAGACGGCATAAGCCTAACAGCCAATATAAACAAATTCAGCTATATAAAAAATATACAAACATTAAAAAAATTTTAAAAATCAAACTTGAGGAAAATATATAAATTAGATGACTGATGAATTACTATCATTGCTACATAAGTATTTCTTTTAAAATAACAAGAGATAAACCTAATTAAAAAGTCAATTTCAATACATATAAGTAATTCATATATACACAAAATATAAATGTCAAACATTCTACTTCATTTATAATCAAATAATTTCAAAATAGAAGTACTGAGGTACTAGTTTTTCACTTCGAAAATTACAAAGATTACTTTCTGAAAAAAAACAAACTATAATACCCAGAGCTGGCAAGAATGTAGGAAAATTGGCAGTACCGTGTTGGGAACGCAGTCTTTTGGGGAGCTGGCAAAACATGGCAAAAGCCTTAAAACTTTGAATTCTTTGGCCACACAATAACACTTAGGGAGTATTTACACAAAAAGGAATAATAAGAGCACAAACAAAAATGTAACTAAAGGATGGGCTTCAAAATAGGAAAATTAAGAAATAACAATAGGCATATACTTTTTAAAAATGTCATTCCTGGCTTGTATGATTCAGTGGATTGAGTGCTGGCCTGAGAACCAAACGGTTGCCAGTTCAATTCCCAGTCAGGGCACATGCCTGGGTTGTGAGCCAGGTCCCCAGTAGGGGGCACACAAGAGGCAACCACACATTTTTTATTTCTCTCCCTCTTTCTCCCTTCTTTCCCTTATCTAAAAACAAATAAATAAAATCTACAGAAAAATATTTCAATAAGCATCTACTTAAAACAACTAAAGTACAACTACAGACTGTATATCATGTTATTAAAAATGATATAGAAATGACATTTAACTAGATGGAAATATGTTCACAGTACACTAGTGAGAAAAAATAGATTATAAAGCCTAATCTACAGTATAATAAACAAAGACACTATATACCTAAATAACTCAAAAATTCAACAGTGGATATCTATGAACAGTAGGTGTGACATCATTTTTCTTTTTTATTGTGGTATTTTTTTGTTTTCTACAATAACATTACTATCCTAAAAGTCCTCATATAGTTTTACTTTTTAAGAGAATATAAACCAATAAAAGCAAATACAGTTCCAAACTTCCCTGGTTATTTCTTGTTGTTTTTAGTTATTAACTTTGAGTTTATCGATGCAATATTCAAAACACTGCTTCTGACCTTAGGAATCATTTTCTGCAATTAAAGAGCTTACTGCTTCAAAGTGCAGAGAGCCTAAGGTCTTATCCAACAATCATATATTTTTACATCAAAATCTAAGATAAAAACCACAAATCTTCTTGCTTCCCCTTTTAGCTATATCACTTAGGAAAATTGTTCTTTGATTTTATATGTGTGTGTACAAATTTTATATATGTATATAAATTATATATAAGGTCTCTGTCAAATTGGTTTTACTATTATTAAAAAGACTTGAATAAAATCTGTATATTTTGAACACAGAGGGTTTCCAGGTTTAATTTAACTGACTTAGTGATCTGCTTTTGAGCTTAAAGCCCCCTTATTGGCCTCGGTGCTTCCACTCACCCCCCAGTACAGTCTATTCTGCACTGAGTAGTGAGTGATTTTCCTTACTGTGTAAGTCACAGATGTGTACATGCTTTGTTGCTTCCACTCCTCCAAGGGCTTCCCAGAGCCATCAGAACAATACACCCACTCCTCACCCAGCGTCCCCTCTCCATCCCCAATCCCTACCCTCTCTTCTTCCCTCTCCAGGCTCCAGTCGCACCGGCCCTTTCACTCTAAAAACTCACTGTTGTACAGTTGGACTTGCTGTTTTTTCTACCTGGAAAACAATCTGTGCCCCAGATCTCTGTGGGCACCTCCCTCATTAGTCAGCTCTTAGACAAAATGTCACCTCCTCAGAGGTGCCTGTCCTGATGGCCCAAAGTAAGGCAGGCTCATCCCTTGGAAATCACTTGTGGTTTTAACTCACTCACAGCACTCACTACTACCTGGAATTGTCTTTCTTAAAACTTGTTTGTCTGTTTCTTCCAATAAAAAAAAAAAAAGCAAGCTTCATGATGGTAGAAACCTCCATCAGGGATTTTGTCCTGATTACCAATGACTCTCTAGATAAGAGCACCTTAAACACTGAGCTGAGTGAATGAAAACAAAACCCCTGATACTCCCCTCAAAAGACAGGTCCCGTCCGGTGTTCTCTTACTCAGTACGTAGCACCCGCTATCAATCCTTCTGGGCAAGCCAGGAACCCAGAAGCCATTCGTGGTCTCTCATCCCCTATTACCCAACCCAGCACTAAGCCTTCCCACTGTTCCCCATATACGATTCTTCAGTTGCTTGCGCTTCTATCTACACCCACCCTCCTCAGTTTCAGTCTATCCACATTTCCTACTAGACTACTACAATGGCCTTTTTCACAGGTATCCGCAGTCTACTCTCACCTTCTGTGGCAACCAAAAAGATCTTTAAAATATTTCAGTGGCTCCCCACAGCTCTTGAGAAGATGGCAGACATTCTCAATTCGGCTGTCTTTTCCAGCACCATCTTGTACCTGCTCCCTGCCACACCTGATACTGATCTGTTTCATAAAACCCTGCATTGTTTCTCTCTATGGAGTCTTGGCACATACTACACTTCTCCTCCCACCCTTTCACCTGGTCAACTCTTCCTCTTCCTTTATTATCCCAGCTAAATTATGACTTCCAAAAAGCTTCCTGACTCCTAGGACCATGCGAATTCCTTCCGGAATAGCACCATATAGCACTCTGAAACTCTTGCTAGTTTTAACTTTACCTTTTTAGGAGTGTAATTCTTTGAATAATGTGAATCTCTCTCACTGGGCTATGAGTTCCGTAAGACTCTGTACCATATCTATTTTGCTACCTCGTCTAGGTAAGTAGATAAGAAAAATCTGCTAAATGAATAAACAAAGTGAGCTAACAGACACTGGGTTTTTAATAACATTTATAAAATGTGTAAATGGTACTTGATTAAAACAATACCATGAGAATTCAACTCTAAAGTTCTGTGAGGCAGTATTGTTTCGGGATTAAAAACGTGTGCTCTGAGATTAGACTCCACCATTCGGCAGCTGTGTGACCCCAGTCCCATCATCTGGCTGAGAATAAAAACACCAACCTCCCAGAGTCCCAATAAAGACACGTAAAACACTTAGCACGAGGCCTAGAAAAAAGCAAGCACTCAGGAATGCTACCTGTTATAACCACCCCCATGTAAGTTACCCAACTTGCTGCTGCCCCCTAATACTCCCACATTTCAAAGTATGTCATGAAAAGTTAACAGTGAAAAAATGTTTGGACATTATGATAATATATTCTCCCTAATTTCTATAGTAAAAAGTAAATGATATGAAGTAATCAATTAATTAATCTACCAGAAACTGAATAGCCTATTTATTATATAATATTAGCTTTTATAAGAAAATAAAGGGGAAAAAGTATTGCTGCCTCCCAGCAATCAAGGGGTAGACACTGGGAAATAACCAAATCTAGCTCCTGGCACAGCCGCAGGTGGTGCAGGTGGCAGAAAATTCACAGGGAGGGAGTGCTAATCAAGTTGTTAATAAGAAGCCTGCTTATTTTAGAGGAGTTTATAATTAAAATGCTACAACTATATTATACACATGATCAGGTGGAAATTGGCATTAAAATGTTAAAGGACAGTATTACTCCATTTTAATTAATTAAAGTAATTTTATTATTCAAAAAATTAATTCCACAATAAACGAAAATACATATAAATCTAGCTGCAAATATGGAAATATGGATTAGGGCCACTCATTTTAGCTGAAGATAGTCAGCCCTATGGGCAAAGCTAACTAGACGCTCACACCTTCCAGGTGACAGACAGGATTCCTGAAGAAGGAACACAATAGTCCACAAGAGATTCCAAAATCTGGCTCTGAGCAAGCCTCTAAACTGCTATTGTCACATTTCTTTTAATAAACCAATGTATACGTAAGCAACAGGAAGCAGTTTAGATAATCTGTCACCCTGATAACACTCCTTCAACACACTGGGCCAGGCTCTAAGTCCCAGGTTTGGGGGTCTGGACTCTGATCCCATCTCCCACCTCTCCCCAGAACCCTCCACTATGCCCTGATGAACAGCCTTCAGCCAAACACCCTAGAGAAATTCAACCTTTTCTCTGAATATTCTCTATTCTAATTCAGTCACTTACCCTACATGTTAAGTCTTGTCATTACTAGTAATTGCAACCTCTTCAGAATCTAATTTTAAAATTAATCCACAGGTACCCCAAATCCAACAAGTCCTTAAGGCTGACAAGACTTCCCCCATCTATTGAACCCGGCGTCTCTGCACTGAACCTTACTTTCTTCCGTTCAATTTCCCCTCCCTGACCAACTCGACTTCCATGGGTACTCATTATAATCACTTCCCTACGAATACCTTAACTCCCCTACCCATTTTCTCACTTTGTCTTACTCCCTTGACAAAACATGAACCCCAGTCAAATCCAACTCTCTACTCATCCTGCACCTCTGTAGCCAAACATGCCCAGACAAAAACACACAAACCATCCTGACTGGTCTTACATCAAAGCTGTGACCTAAAAGGGCCCCTTCATGCTGCCCTGCAGTATCTCACATTCCCTCGGCTCACTGACTGTCCCACTCTCTGGAAAGACTATTTCAGCTTTATTCTCTTTCCTCAAACCTCCAAAATTTTCTTCCCCTACCTCATTCCCAGCAAGGATCTTTCTTCATATTCTGCCAAAAGCAAGAGACTTTCCAAAAGCTCCCGCCACATTTTCCTATGTTTCATCAGCAGTGCCCATATAATCTACTCTGCCTTCCCTTTTTTAACAATGAAGGAACTGTCGCAGTGCCCAAGGCTAACCTCTCCACACCTCCACCAGACCCTATGCCCCTTCTCCTACCCAGGAACATCTATCACACAATTTTCCTCCCACTCCTGCATCACCTTTTCCCTCTCTTTAAAATTGTTTTCATCAACATACAAATGTGCTATCATCTCCTCTTTCCTGATTTTACTTCTTCCAACTCCCACTCCCATACTCTGCTCCCTTTCATGAAAAAAAAATCTTCACAGACTTGCCTGCCATGCTCCCCTCCTTTTGTTCTCTTGAACTCACACGAATTTAGGCTTTTATCCCACATTAGCAAAACCACCCTCTGTCAAGGTCTCCAATAACCTCCTTGTTACTAAATCCAATAATCAATTTCCATGACTTGCTCTCCTCCTCAACATCTCTAGGACACCACGGTCCCGTTTCCCACTACTTCAGTCTCTTTGCTGCTTACTCAACTTCCCAGTATCAGAAACCTGGGGCTCAGACCTCTCTGCACTTACTCTTTTCTGTCTAAATCCACTTCCTGATGACCTTCCCCAGTCTCAAGACCTTGCACACCTGTATGATAAAGAGCTTCAGACCTATATCTGAACCCAACCTCTCCTCCACAATCTAAAATCAACTGCCTACTCAACATGTCTACTTGTATGCCTAAAAGCTTCTCAAGTTCAATGTGTCCAAAACAGGACTCCTGGTCTTCCCTGAAAATTTTTGTCCTCATACTGTTATCCTCTTATCAGCAAAATGGCAATTTGGCCCTTATTGCTCAGGCCAGAAATCCTGAGTTATCCTTGATTTTCCTCTTTCTCCCACCCCATATCTTATACATCAGCAAATCTTCTCAACCATACTGTCAATGAATATCCAGAATCACACTTCATCACATCACCTGCATTACCACTGCAATGATCCAAACAACTGTCACTTTTGCCTGGATGCTGTCACTGACTCCTGTCATCCCCGCTCCTCCAAAGGCTTCCCATCTCCCTCAGACTAAAATTGGAAAACCTTTGCCATGACTTATAAGGCCCTGCACAATTTAGTCGCCCATCATGCTCCTGAACTCATTGTCCACACTATACTCCCTCTCCTGCTCTCTACTCCAGCCACGCTGCGCCTGGCTATTCCTCAAAAAAATGAGCTATCTTCTCACCTCACCGACTTTGTGCTTGCTGTTCTTTTGCCTAGAATGCCTTCTTAGATATACATACGGGTCAATCCTTCACCATCTTCAGATTCTGCTCAAATGCCACCCTTTCAGAACTTTCCTAGGCACTTCCTATTCACTTCCCATCTTATCTTTCTTCGTAGTATTTATCATCATCTAACAGACAATGTACTTTACCTAGTTATACTATTTATTGTATCCCTCCTCCACTAGAATGTAAGTTCTCTAAGGGCCAGGATTTTTGTCTGTTTCTTTCACAGTTACATCTCTGGTGCTAAAATGGTGCCTGGAACACAGTTGGAGCACAAATGCCTCACTAGATGCTCAATACATAAAATGGTTTCTCTCCTCTCTCTTCCTGTTGAGTCACTAATGACAAGATTTGAAAGTGTATCAGCAGAAATACAATGTCAATACCAGAAAAAACAATTCAATGCTTCTGTCTTACTAAAAATAGGTTAACAGACTGTCTCTACATATGATACACAAATTCTGTAAAATCTGAACCTATCACTCATTTATGACATGTGACTAAAACAATAACTTCCTGAGGAAATGTTTTTCCCCCAAATAACAATATTTACCTTCCTAAAATCACTCTTTGGCGTTTCTAAGCCATCCTGAGGAGACATTCTTTTCTTCTGTTCTGGGACTGGAGGCTTCACCTTACATGGAGACACTAAAACAGCACCACCTAGAAAAATGCAAAAGATAAGTTTCGATCAAGCTAAATCTTCGTGTAGAAAAGGCAGGTGAAATAGGAACTGCATGGTGTTTGCCTATTACCAACAGCCGGAGTGGTAAGATCATGATGAGTCCTTTGGACTCCCCCAAGTTCTCTCAGCTTCGGAGTAGGAAGCCTGCCTCCTTTTTCTGAGGATACAGAAGAAGAGTCCGACCTAAAAAATTACAATAATCTATTATGAAACCATTCTTTTATGAAATATGACCAAAAATACTTTGATGCAATATTATTGCATCATTATGCAATAATAAAGTATGAAACTTTTAAGATAAGACCATTTTGTTGCTGAAAGTAAACCCACATGCAGGTAAGAGGGACTGAATATTGGAAGCGTGAAGATCACTGCAAGTCAGCAAGAACACGCAGAAAATTCTTCCACTAAATGAGGGCCTAAATCCCACATTAACCGCAAAACTCATGAAAGAAAAGCACCGTTATCAATGGTAGAGAAACACTCCCCAAAGAAACCTACATATAAACCAACAGGAATTAGCTCTTTGCCAAAATCACTTATTTTAATATTATAAAACATCATCTTTTCTTTCTCTTTTGGCATAGCCATCTGATATTTAAGAATATCAGCTATTTTTCTTAAATCATAAAGAAAGTCATTCTTCCAGGCACATTTGCAAATCTAGCAAATCATAATTAGCAAGATATTAATGAAAATAATACTAATTATTCCCTCCCGCAGCAGCTCAGTGTTCAAGTGTTCAATTACTGATTAGTGGTGACTCAAATACCTGACTGACTCAAGTTATAAATCATATAGAACGCCTCCTTCCTGACATTAAAATAAAATCTCTTTATTAGTCATAAAACCAAAAGCATAAACCACTATACTTAGTGACAAAACAAAATATGTATTAGCCATGCATAATAATGCTGCTATATACTGATCAATTTAAACTCTCACCCTTCTTTTATCTTGCCTGCCTTAGATTTTTCATGTACTTTCAACTTCTCTAACTCTCCCATATAAACCTGCTTGTCCCTTTCCCTTTCCTCCTCCTCTTCCTCTTCTCTCGGCTGTTTTTGTATATCTTCATTGGTGTCCTCTGCATCCCAAGCCAAACGCCTTCTAACAGGTACAGTGGGAGCATCTGACACGCCCAATTTTTCTGTGGTATTTTTCTGGGGCTGTTCTTCCAAGATAGGTCTTTTTTCTTCTAGTTTTGTAGAAGGATATTTCTGCAAATTCTTATGGCTTGTAGGATCTCTGCATAACAAAATAAGTTTTATTTTAAACAAGTAGTTTCAAGTTCCTAGTTTATACTAATTTTAATGAGCCATCATTCCCTTCTACTATTCACAATTATATATTTCCCCACAGATATGGCCTAGCCCAGATACTGAAGAAAGAAATCTAATTAAGAGTTCACTTGAGCCCTGACCAGTGTGGGTCACTTGGATCGGCATCGTCCCACAACATGAAAAGATCACTGGCTCGATTCCCAGTAGGAGCACATACCTGGGTTGCAGGTTTGGTCCCCAGTCGGGGCGCGTAGAGAGGCAACTGATCAATATTCCCCCTTCACTCCGATGTGTCTCTCCCTCTTTTTCTCCCTCCCTTCCCCTCTCTACAAATAAAGAGTTCATTTTACATTATAATAGTGTTATGATCTGGAGTTGCTATTAAAGTACTCCGGCGTAAAATATAGTTATCTCCTCTTACTCCCACCTTCACACATACATGCCTGCACCACTACTGACAAAACTCACACATGTCTTACACATGTCCCCTGAACTGGCATTTGTATGTACATGCAGTCTAACTTGTTCGGTTATTCAATTACAGTTTGTACACATACTCGAGTGTACTTGCGGATCTAGAAGCTGGTTCAAATTTTATAATTTAGATAGAGTAATCTTTTCCTGACATTAATTAAAGAATAGATTTTGTGATGAATTTTTAAAATCAGATGTTACAGGTCAATTTGGTATGTGTGACTATATTAACATGCTGTAACAACTAAAAATTATTTTATTTGTGGCAAATCAGTGTGCTATTTCTCTTATAAAAATTTAAATCATTTCTCTTTAAAACCCAACATAGCAGAGAATTCTCCCATAGAAGCAGGACCTAAGTGCCATATCGACCATGAAAATTTATTAATAAATGATCATGGATATGTACTAATAACTTGCTTTTAAAGTTCTTTTACAGCTACTATACAATTATTCCTATTTTATTTTTAATTGTTAACAAAAAATATTATAAAATCCAGTCTTCCAGATTTACATTATGTATTATTTACACACAAGTGCTTAAAGTGGGTATATAGTCTTATTTTTCAGAAATAAACTAAAAATAATGAAATATAATGGCTATCGTATCTCCATTTAACTAAATGAATTTCAAGTCATGTGTCATTCGCCTATATAATTCCATGGTCTACTTAAGCTACAACATACTTTTCACCATATACAAAAGCAGCTCACCCAGCAAGGTCTAGTGCTCTAATGTTACTACTAATAGTTCCTTCTGAACTCGTGGTCGAGGAGACATCCCAAAAGCAGTTCTTATCAGACAGAATCTGATTCAGATGGTCCCGAGAGAAATGTGTTCCCTGAACTCGTTTCCTATAAAACTCAGCCTTCTCTCGGAGCTCTTTAACCTGTACAGGAGAGGTAAGACATCATGTATTACTGTAAATGCTCCTTCACAAATATCACCAGGTAGCATATCTAAGACATTGCACATGTACAGCCAGAGACCAAAGAGAAAGGAAGGCAAAACTAGCCACATATATTCATCAAACTATGTGCATTTTTAAGCAGAAATTAAAATAGTCACGCTATAGCACAATGCAGTTATTTCAGGCCAGCAGGCAGAGAGACATTTGTAGCAGCTAAGAAAAATATTGACATCTACTTCTTATTTCGACTGAAATTACACATATTCTATGCATTATTACAGTATTTTAAAAACTCAAAAGCAACCAACCTCTGCATACCACATTGCATTTAGAGAACCCTAGGGAAGGAATACAGAAACATACTTAATGACAGGTTAATGCCATAATGTAATATTAATGGGAATCAATGAAATACCTATTTTTCTTCTTTCTAAATGTATAGATACATGAAACTTGTCAACCAACATTTTTAGTATTTTTTAGTAATATTTAATTCAGTAACCAAGACATGTTAATATTACTTTAAAAACCACCACAGTACTGTATGGCTGGGATGCTGTCCCTGACGGGCTACCTAAGTACTATTCCTACTCCCCCACTACTGGATTATCGAAATGCCCCAAACCCCTAGCCCCGGTCTTAATTTCCTAGTTTAATATACAGTTGCTACCAGCAAAAAACCCCTCCCACATGTTGTGAGAAAGTCACAAGGTTCCCCCCTCCAAATACCTCAACATTTCCTTGGAATCAGCAAAATCTCAACTTTTAAAAAATGTATTAAGTACATACTAATTTTTAATCCCACAAAATAGTAATTATAATGCATTTAAGAAAGTAACAGAATACGAAAATCTGTTGTGATGAACTATAAAGCAATTTGAATTCCCTAATGTACTAATTACATAATTTGCATATGAACTGGAGCCTTTTATCCTCATCTGAAACCCTTACATTTTATGCATAATACTGCCACCTGCTGGCTTCTAATAAATACAATTCCACAATGTAAAAAAATTAAATTGCACCCCAAAATTCTGTTTAAAATAATCTGTTTAATTTTACGAACCAATTTTAACTCAATCAAAATTAAAATAAATAAAATTAAGTAACCTTTATTTATAAAAAACAAATTTTTTCTATCATAAAGATGAAATGTTAGCATTAAAAGGATATCTGGATACTGTCTGATTAAATTGCTTTGCCTTCACTTAGAGACAAAAAAACAAATACTAAAACTTAACATTGCAAAAACAATTGGAGAATCATATCCTTAGCTCCTTAATGAGACATTATAGAATACAAACAAAAAGTTACATCTGTAGGGACTCAGCCAAACTCAAAGGACAGCACTAGCCACGGCACAACAAACTATATATACATAATGTATTTTATATACTATATATATGTATATACTTCTCAATAAAGCTGGGGGAGAAAAATAATAATTAAGCCAAATAACAGTCCTCATGTTCTAATAAACCAAACCTGAAACATTACTAAAAGATGACTCAAAATATTTTATTCACTGCCAAAAAATTGAGCCATGTTCATTTATCATTTCTGTCAACTACTATACTTTGAAGAAAATTATGAGTATAGCAGGTCCTCAAATAATGTCATTTCACTTAATGTTTCATTATAACATCCATGAGATGCCACAGGAATGTAACTCTTTTTTATATCAATTAGCATATGGTAAAACTGGTTTCATGATAGTGATTCTGCTTAAAGTCACAGAACCCATCAACGATGTTAAGTGAGGACTTACTTTAGTGGATTTTGCTTTTAACAGATAGAACCAAGACACATGGATTAAGTGCTGAATCACCAGTACTAACCAAGGTATTCTGAATACACAGGACTTATTACAACATGCCTTGATATAATCCAAATTTCCAACACATATCCCAAATTTCAAGTGTTTCGTCCAAATTTCAAGTGTTTCGTGGCTACTCCATTACCTACATGATAAAATCTGCAAGCCTTAGCATCTCTTCCTCCTCTGTAGTCTTAAAGCCCTTCATGCACAACTCTATTGGTTCTTTTTTCTCATATTTTTCCCCCCTTCCCCCCAGCAATCAGTCACCACACTGTTGTCCGTGTCCATGAGTCCTCTTTCCTTTTTGCTGAATCCTTCTACCCCGTAACCTCCCCTCAGTAGTTCGTATTTTATCCTTCTGGAATTGATCGCTCATGTCATTCTCCCCCATTAACCTATAAAATCCTTGAGGTGAGGAAGAATGCAAATTTAAACACTATTTCCACAGCCTGTCCTGAGTGTGCACCTGAGCTAAAAGGCTGGTAGTTGCAGGTGAGCAAGAAAGTCCCTGTATTCAATGTGCCCACAGTTTGGTAGAGGAGATAGATCTCCTCTATGATAAAAGTTGTTATCATAATAATGGTATGGTTTATGCCATAATAAATAAATGAAATAGAAGTTGAAGGAGTCCATCAAATGGGGAGTCTATCAGTCCTGTGCTATGGACCAGGTGGAATGGGCAGGAGCAGTGAAGAAGGCTGCATTCTCTCTATGTGGGAGGACCTTACTGCTTGATAAATGAGGGGATAGACGAATATCCCCTCCATGTACAAGGTGATCCAGTTTTAACTGACATCAGTTTCTTTAAAGGAGGGAGAGGAGATACAGAAATACTGTAAAACTTGGTTTACTCAGTTCTGTTTGTTACTGACATTCAAAACAATGTTTTAAAAACATTTAATTTACTTTATTAAAAAGTAAAGTAAACATAAGTAAAGATAAAACATTAAAGTAAACAAATTTACTTTATTGGCAATCTTTATTAATATTAGTGCTAATGTTATATTTTGTAACTACATAATTTTAAACTTCTATAATCCTATACTAAGATAAAAAATCAGGAGGTTGATATCTCCCAAGTAAGGTGTTCTACTAGAAAGAGTAAAAAGAAAAAAAAAAAAAGAAATCAGTGGTGTGAACTCAGTATTAAGAACAATCCCCACAGCCAAGAACCAGAGGCACTAAAAAGAATATAAACAGACCATTCCAAACGCAATTAAACCAACACACACCTCTCTCTCCAGGTAATGCGATCCAATTATATGACATAATGAGCACTATAAGTAGAAGGTTTTCTTTTCTGAATCTTTTCCCAAATTAAGAATTTAACTAAGTCACTTAAAATTCATATATAGAGAAAATTCAAACTTAGAAAACTGAGGAGGTAAAAAATAAAAACTCTTTTTTTTCCAAAAATCATCCCCCCAAAATGAGGAGTCATCTTTATACCTAGTAGTCCTTATAATGACCGTCAAATTACAGAATGTGGGATTTTACCTTGAAAGACACATGAGAAAAAAATTACCAAGAGAACAATTTGATGGTCGTGAGATGAGGGCTTGGGTAATTGGTGAAAAAACTGAAAGGGATTAACAAGCAGGAACTGGGCATAAAATGTCACAAGAACATAAAGTACAGCACAGGGAATACAGTCAGTAATATTGTAATTACTATGTATAACCACTTCATAAGGTATATAAATGTCTTACCACTATATTGTACACCTAAAATTAATATAATACTGTACATCAAGTAGAATTATTTGACAAATTTTTTAATTACCTCAACCAATGTAATTTTAAGTATTAGATTACCTAACAATGAAAAACGGGAAATCTAACAGATTCAGGAGCTATTCTCAAGAAACGAGCTAATGATCACCATATCTGGTTATTATTAAAAATAATCAATTAAGTAAGTATTTTAAAAAAGAAATAGTGCCAGTGTTTATGTTATGGAGATAAATATACAACCACTGGATGAATAAGACCAAATACCCCAGTGTTATATAAACAGCTACTGGGAACTCAGGATTAAATACCCAATGACTAGACTATAAACAGATTTTAAAAGTACAATATCACAAACAACATAGAAGGAAATGAAAATGATATATGGGCGAGAAAACTATAACATGATTCAGAAAAAATGAGTTAACATTCTAATGATAACAAAGTCATTGATGTCCAAGTGAGTGTGAATAATACTGTTTCATGAAACGTTAGGAATGGGAAAACGGGGGAGTACCTTATGTTTAGTTACTTTGTAAGCAGCCACACACAGTTAGCGTCTTACAGTAAAAAATATACATACAAGACTTACATAAAACATGGCCACATTAAATGTCTGTGACAAAGTGACACAGACTTGGTCATAGACATTCATCACCATCAGCAATCACTGGCCTCTTTACTAAAAATTCTTATTCTTTTCTAACTCCAATTTACTTTTTGAATTATTTTGCCCATAGAAGTCAAAGCAAACTATACCATTAACTGAAATATTTACAACCACCAATAGAAATTAACAAAACAAACTCCCTCCAAAAGTCACATTACCAAGGTGTCGTAAGAGGAATCCTTGAAAAGACAGATCTTTAACTACAACAGTGTTCTCTTCCACCAGGGCAGCATAAGGACTGTCAACTTCTAACTTCAGACATAATCATCTCCTCAGTTCATTAAATGTTTAAATCTGAGGTCTAAATACCAATTCATCTTAGTTTAAAGAAGTCTCAAAGACTGAGGTAATTTTTCCAAAACAAGGAGCTTCTCGGGACAGGCTGCAGGCGAACGGCTGACACCACATTAGCCCTCTACAGCCACGTTCCCCACCCTGCCTTTGCCCCAGGTTTTCCTTACTCCCCATCAGACTCTAGACACAGAGCTACTCGCCAAGGTCCGGCATGATCATCAACTGTTCAATGCATACATTTTTAACTTGATCCCACCAGGGTGAATACATGAGTTTTGCCCCCAATAATCTCTGGGATAGCCTTGAGCTTTGTCTCTTACTTGCCTGTATTGCCTCTGAGTCCTGTTCAAGTAGGGAAGTAGAGAGTACCAAGAGCAGCCACGGTGGGAGGAATCACGTAACCTCTTAAAACAACATTTGGAGCACAGGGGTCACCAGAACATGGGTCTGGGAACTGAGGGTGCAACAAGCCAGCAGCTAAAAGTGCCAACACCTTCTCCCAGAAACTGATAACGTGTAATTGTTAGCCATGGTTTTAAGTATGGAGCTAAATAAAAGATTCATTCCTCATACAAATCATCCTTCCCTTTACAATGATAGGAAGAGGGAGTGTTTACTGATGTCTAATCTAAACTGTTTTAATTTGGTTAATTCACACAGAAAAGGCAGACAACCATCAAGATATAATTTAAAAGATGACAAATTATTCAATAACCAGAAAAGCTCCAGTTTATCCTTTGACTATAAGAAGTTAGTACTAAACTAGCACTTCCCAATTCAAGGATTACCCTTTCCCTCAAACCTTTCTTCAGGATCCTCAGAACTTCCCCCTGTATGTCAGGGTATCCTGACAACACCGTAACTCAAATCTCTATGAGCACAGGCCACTCCTTCCCTGTACTTACAAACTGTAACAGCACACACCGATAGGGGTACCACTGCCAGACAAACTAATCTTGAAAATTAATTAACCTTCAGCTGTGAGGGTGGAGGTCTGGATGTTATAATCAAATCTATCATGCTATAATTCTCTATAAGCTAACTTTATTAATATAATCAAATATTGACTATAAAAACATCTTTAACTTTAAGGATTTTATAATAATAAATATAACTTCTAATGAGCTAGTTGTTATTTAAAAAAGCAAGCACGCTGATAAAGTATATCCTAATAGATACAACTTTAATTTCCTAATACTTATATTGCTATTATTATATCATACATCTTTAAACTGTCTCTATTACTAAATTAAACTCATTATAAAATTAAACTGATAAAAGCTCAAAGAAAATGTGGGCTTACTGAGCTTAAGCATACTCACCTGACTTGGTATGTTTTCCTTCACACGTGTCCAAGCCCCAGCTTTATATAAATACTGGGCTGGACTCAGATATTTTGCTCTATATTCAGAATTCACCTTCCTGACAGAAATAAAATAAGGGTAAATATATCACCATGTCAATCATTTAAATACTATACTGTTTATCTTACAAAATACATACCCAAGTCTTTGATGTCTCCATGGGGTGAGCTTCTTTTTAGGCTGGTTTAAGTCTTTTGATTCCATCTCTACTTCTAATTTTAAAGAGTCGTCTGTTTTATTACACTAAAATGACAAAATTCAAATTTTTTATACTAAAAATATTTTCTACATTAAAGTGAAAGCATAAATGTTATAAAGTATAGTGAGTACTGTATTACAATTCTGTTTTTAGAAGATTTAACTATGAAAGATAACAGAGAAATCAAAAGAAATTAACAAGCAAGTTTTGAAACTAGGATATCCAGTTAGTGTTTCTGAAGTATAACTCAGGATATAGTTTCAATCTCTAACAATTAAAATTTTCGATCATTAGCTAGGAAAAAATAACTAATTAACAACTAAATATCTAAATAAATAAACTTTATGTTACTACCTTTAATTAGTAATCTTCCATTTGCCCTTGCTATTCTAAATTTATATTTAGTTGTGTTATTCTAAGTTTATATGTAATTGTGTTATAGTAATTCAGTGTAAGGCTCCAATTATTAAGTTACCACGTTGTTTAGTGAATCTGTTAATCTCTCTTTTTTTCTCTGCAAGGTCACAGGCTCAAAAAGATTATATACATATACAAAATTTTACTCTAGTTATATAATTTCTACTTTTAGCACCCATAAAATATCAGAGATGACCTTCCAGGAAATTAAATAATAAGACTTATATCCTGTTTCCCTATAATTTACAATAATTTTAACCCGATGATGCAATGTAAATAGCTATAATTTCACACAGAAGCAGGTCTTTGTATATCCTGAGATAAATCATGTGAATTATAGTGGCTATAACCTGGCATGCTATAACTTTGGTTTAAAATGCATGTACATATGTATGTTTGTGTTTGATTTCCATTATTTAATTTAAAGTACTGTATGTGTTTCTGTCACTACTGTTACCCTGGGAGCCCACATTACTGTAAAGTCAAACATTTGATATTAGACATAGCAGACTTGCTAAGCATTCATTACACGGTATTACATTTTACTACTTCTAGCTCTGTCTCCCCAATAGCCCAAGAGCTGCTTAAGAGCCTAAGGTGGTTATCACTGTATTCTCACTAGCTACCCAATGAACATCTGGCATTTAATGAACAAACAAGTGACTGAATGAACTAGCTAAAAAACAAAAATTTCAAGTGGTACTAAGTGAACAAAAACCATATAGAGTCTAAAATGAGGATTTTGTTTTGTTTAAAGAGTTGATAAATACCTCTTTCTCAGGAGATACTATTTCCAAATGTTCGTTTTCTTTCAAATCGTTTCTTAATTTTGGTTCTTTCACCGGAGATAAACCCTTGAAATTTCTTTTGTATTCCGTTTCATGGATTATTGAGTTACCTTTGAATTGTGGAACAAATTTGCTTTTATTGTGGAAAACCTTAAAACAAAAATTAGTTTAGTTTTTTGTTGGTTAAATATACAGAACTCAGTTTTTCAAATGCCAAAAAAATTTCACACATTAAGTTGAATCATAGTATACAAAAAAAGGCAAAATTATATATGACTCTGTAATTTCATTTGACATGTCTAATTAATATCCAAAGGGCAACAAAAGCAAAAATAGACAAATGAGATTGCATTAAACTAAAAAGCTTCTGTAAAGAAAACAGAGTAAAGAGACAATCTATGGAATGGGAGAAAATATATGCAAACCTTAGATCTCATAAGAGGTCAATATTCCACATGTATTAAGGAACGGAACTCAACTCAACAGCAAGAAAATAACCCAGTTTAAAAATGGGCAAAGAGGCATAAAAACAGACACCCGGATCAATGGAATACAATAGGGAGTGCAGATATAAATCCACACATATATGGTCAGTTAATTTATGATGAAGGAGCCAAGAACATATAATGGTAATAGGACAGTCTCTTAAATAAATGCTATTGGGAAGACCAGGCTGCATTATCCAAAAGAATAAAACTGAACCACACAGTCTTTCACCACACACAAAGATCAACTCCAAATGGATTAAGACTTGAATATAAGGCCTAAAAACCATAAAAACTCCAAGGAAAAAGCAGGGGATAAGCACCTTGACATTGGCCTTGACAATGATTTTTTTTTAATTTGACACCAAAACTAAAGGCAACAAAAAAGTAAAAATAAACAAGGAGGACTAAATCAAACTAAAAAGCTTCTATATAGCAAAGAAAACCATCAACAAAAACAGCCTATGAAATGAGAGAAAATATTTGTGAATCAAATATTTTTAATATATTTAATAATGGATTACTATATTACAATAATAGTAATAGAAGTCATACAACTCAAAAGAAAATAACCATAAAATCCAATTAAAAATGGGCAGAGGAACTGAAGAGACATTTTTCCAAAGAAAAAATATAATGGCTAAGGGGGTGTACAAACAAGTGATCAATATCATTAATCAACAGAAAAATATAAATCAAAACCACAATGAGACAATCACGTCAGGTCTGTTAAAATAGCTATCGTCTAAAATACAACAGATAAGTGTTGGCAAGGATGTGGGGGACCCCTGTGCTCTGTCGGTGGGAATGTAAGTTAGCTGAAGCATTATGATGATATTCAAAAACAGTATGAAGGTTCCTCAAAAAATTGAAAACAAAACTATCATATAATCCATCAATTCCATTTCTGGGTATATTTCCAAAGGAAGTGAAATCTGTATCTCAAAGTTTATCTGCACTCCCTTGGTCACTGAAGCATTATTCACAATGGCCAAGATATGAAATGAACCTAAGTGTCCATCAACAGATGAATGGATGAAGAAAATGTGGCATGCATATACAATGGAATATTATCCAGCCTTAAAAAATAGAAAAAAATCTTGCCATTTGCAACAGGGATGAACCTGAAGAACACATGCTAAGTCAAATAAGTCAGGCACAGATCAATGAATACTGCACAACTGCACTTGTATGTGGAATCTACAAAAGTCGAGCTCATAAAAGCAGAGGAGGATGGGGGCTGCCAGGAGCTAGTGGGTGGGGAACAGAGGGAGGTGCTGGTCAGAGAGTCTCAAATTTCTAGAATTCAGGACAAATAAGTTCTGCAGACAAATAAGTACAGCATGATGACTATAGTTAAGAATAGTGAATTACATACTTGAAACTAGCTAACAGAGTAGATCTTAAGAGTCCTTGCCATGAAAAAGGTAACTCTGTGAAGTGTTAGATGTATTACTTTGATTATAGTAATTATTTCACAATATATACATATATCAAGACATTACTTTCTATACATAAATACATTATATTTGTCAATTATACCTTAATAAACCTGGGGAAAAATCCAAAGGTCAATTTTCTATATTCATTACTACTATTTTTTGAACAATAGCTACTGTTATCAAAATCATGCTTAAGCCAAAAGAAATAATGAACCATATCTTTCCTCCCTAAAATCTCTCATCAGTTTGGTAATGGGACTAGTAGAATAGGCATATTTTAATAATATGAACATAGATATTAGCTTTATAAGGCAACCCTGTTGTCAGCTCTACAGGTTTTTTCCCTCAATGTGAATTTTTTTCTTCCTACAAAAAATAGAAAATTCTTAACATTTTAATTGTCTGGTATGTTTATTTTTCAGTTTTTGTCTCTGTGCTTGCTTATTTTTAGTATAAGGCAAGGGAAAAGTCATGTAATTATTATGTTTCTGTTTTTAAATGTTTCGTTTTATCCTTAGTACTTCATAGTACGTATTCCATTTTATGGCATATGATTACTGATTATAAGGAAAGCAAATGAAAAAGATGGAGCTCAAAGTATATTATTGCTTCATAACTCTACATAGTATTATCTTCACATAGATTGAATCCTAACAGTGTATCTTTTTAAGATACTGTATAACCTGTCGTATTTTTCTAGCTAAAATTGCTCTGACTCATTTACATGTTAATACAAGACATCCTTTCAGAAAACAGGTGCTGATAAAACAGAACTAAATAGCTCTTTCAGAGGTCCCCATCAACAAGCATTCAATTTCTGTCACAGAGCTCTTCAGTCCATAGCCCTGAAATTGATACGCTTTGAAGTAACAAACAGTATTTGCATCCCCCTCAAACTGTTTGAAACCCTCATAATGAAAACAATAAAACTACTAAAGTGTTGCTAATGATTTGTATTATACTTCTGATCCTATTAAAAAATTTTATATACTACTTCACTGAAATATGTAAAAGTTGTTAATGGGGCTTTAATTTGAATCAGCTCTATTTTAAAAGTGAAATACTCTATGAAAACTGAAGAATTCACAATTTTCACATATTAAATAATTTTTAAGCATACTTACTATCCAAGAATACTAATAAACCAGTGAAAGAAGTACGGATCCTATTTACTAAGTTCATAAGGTGTACATATCACTTTATATTATTTCGTATGTTCCTAAAATGTTATATAAATTTTAGGTTTTTTAAAAAAACTGAATAACAAGTAAATAAGCCCAGAGGTTCCACAATTTATACGATCACTGCTATTATCATCGTAGTGTAAGATGACTGATTGCCTTGCCTTGCTGAATCTAATCATCCTCTCAGGCCTCAGGGGTATAGAGTAAACGTTGCGATACAGAAGAAAAGGAATGTCAGGGTGTGTGAAGGTGTGTGCACACTAGTACGTTTACAAAGAAAAACACAAAGATGGGGAGAAACAAAAGTCTGAGCTGTCATGAGCCTCTGGGGATATTCTAAGTGGAAGTGTTTCCTACCCTGGGCCTCAGAGTAGGTTTAAGAATGTAAATGAGAGTTAAGAGCTGAAGAACAGTTTAGAGGAAGGCAGCAGGAAAACAAAAAAGTATTTACCAGTACCGGTAATCCAGTACTAAGATTGCGCAGGCATACAATGCATGTAATGTCACATTTAGTTATCATTATAGCTTTTGAATTTTATAAATATATTTACACTATCAGTGTAACACTAAAATTTAATAAAACAATAAAATTATGTATCTTCTATTACTCTAAAAATATTTCACATTTATTAACATAAATATCCAAACCAATTACAATACAAATATATGTTTTCTGTCTATTTTTCTGTCTGGGTTTCGGTCTTTCTTATAGGACAGAAAACATTAATATATCGGTCAACCGAACACATATTATAATCAAACCAATTCAGTATTTTTTGATAAATAAAAGAACTCCCAGCATGCAAAAAATTACCAGTGCCTAGGTTTTCATTACCTGTCTCATGCTTGTTATATATGAAGGACCTGGCCACAGTGATGAGCAGCAGCCTAGGACAGTACACTGTCACTACTCCAAATCACGAGTAATAGAGTGATTTTAGCAACACTCTCATTTTCACTTCTCTAGAACCTACCTCCAGGCCTATTTAAGTATCTCAGTTCTTTCAGCAATTAGTTCTATATAAATCTGCATAAGTATATTAAACAATGATATTCAAAAACTACATTTATTGAATTACCTGATTGGCTGCAAAAACTGGAGCAGTTTCTTTAGGGGTCTTCCAAACAAACTGCCTTTGATATTCAGAATTTCTCAAGACACTATGTGAAGGAACAACAGTCAATCCAGCTTTCTTCTGCAGAAATCTATCCAACTGTTAGGGGAAAAAAATCCCACTCTAAGTCATTGAAAATTTCCATTCAAACTCTTTTTTTTACTGTGGTAAAATAAACATACAGTACAGCATTAATTATTTATATCCACATTGTTGTACAACTAACTTTTCTCATTTTAAAATCTCCCTTTTAAATTGTCAAACTATTTAAAATTCCTTTTTTAATACTGTCAAGAAATTATTATGCATCCCACAAAAACATTAACATCTCTCAATTCCTTCTTACCAATTATTTATAATTAAACCTATTACTAAGAAACAACAGCCCTTTGCTTTATGCACACATTGCTTCTGGGACACCCCTTCCCCTGCCCACCAGACTTACACATCACCTTCCGTGACCCTCCCTAGGCCCCCCAGTTTGCACAAGCCATGGGTTCTTCTCCAACACTTCTGAATGCCTCTCCGTGGGTCCACTCAGCAGGGGACATGAAAGGGGAAGAAGCACAGTGGAGAAAAGTGTGCGAGGCCGTGAGATGACTGCACAGGGCCCTGCAGCCTCCACTTATGTGCTCTCAGGGACCTTCTGCAGGCCAGCTATGACATAAGAGAGAAGAACTGCAAGGTCTTTGAGGTCCAGCCAAAACTCCTTTCTTTTGCATTTCATCAACTGAGATTCTGTTGTTGTTGGTTGTTTTTCTTTTTCCTTGCTGGTATACAATAATAAATTGAAAAAAGCCTAGGTAGAAGCCAGCTCTCCATCCCTGCCAGAGCTAATGACCTACTCCCCTTCTCTGTCTCAACTTGATCTCTCCCTCAGGACTCAGACGCTGATATATGATAAATAAAATCTGAAGCAGGCTGTCCACCCAATGAAGAGATTACCTTAGTATAACTAGTACAAAGTGACTATTAAGAATAGAACTAATTCACAATAAAAATCAACAGCCTCTTAACTAGTCTATAGACAAGAAAACAATAGAAAAATTTTAAGCACAAAATGTAATATTTTGAAAATGATGAAATCTACAAAGAATTCTATGCTTTTGTAAAGAAATACGGTGAATATACTTACCTTATTATCTATGTTTTCTGAGAGAAGCTTGGTAGAATGTTCCCCTTCCACATTTTCTTTAGCTGGTACATGGTTTGCTATGACATCCTTATTATTTTCCACAATATCAGAAGCCCCTTCAGCTTTGGATTCTGCAGAGTGAGACCGGGTTCCCTTGGGAACCCTGGAGGCTCCTAGTGCAAGAACTCTTTCTTGGTTAATGTCTTCTTTGTGCTCTGCCTGCTGTGACTCTGGTGTTTCTGGGGCTTCAGGCTGCGGTGACACAAGCACGTCATTCTCTGAGAGAGCTCCATTCCACTCAAGAGATTTTGAAATCTGTGGGTCATGGTAAGGGACTCTTCTTTTGGAAATAAAACTTGGCTCTTTCGTGATTCCTACAAAACAGAGCAAACAAAAGTAGCAGCTACCAAAAAAGTTGCAAAGACAACTTTTAGTTGCAAATACCTCTGAGAGGAGAAATGAAATTTAAAATTCAGTTGAGAACATAAGCATAGTTGTCCAACACGAAATCTTTAATTTTGTTTCAAAGAAATATAAGTTTGACCATTAAAATTTTTTAAATTAGGGTCACAGTGTTCAAGTTAGCCTCCCACAAGCCACTAGAACTGCAACGTGATGGATCTGGCAAGTCAGCCAGCACATGCTGCCTCCGTTTCTAATTACTTTCCTGTGCTACTTAAGGGAACAATGGGCCCTGGTAGTGTCAAAATTTGGAACTTTTCACAAAGCTTCTCTTATGCAGAGCAGACCAAGATGAGAAGGGATGAGATGTCATTATGCTAGATCTTGGTTCTACATTTGCCTTGATTTCCTGAGAATTAAGAGAATGAACCCTTTAAACAAGAGCTAAGATACTATTTCTCTATATTTCTGTCTGGCAAGCAAATGTCCAAAAAACTTAACCTTCTGCCCAGGTAAGAGGAGCTCTGTGGAATGACAGCCACTAAGATACTGCCCCAGTTTGGGGCCATTCTTTAAATAGAAAGGAGACTGGACAGCGTGGGGGGAAAAAGATAAGACCAGAAGGGAAGGGAAGCAGACGCGAGTGGAGAAAAAATCTGGCAGGAGGTAAATAAAAGCCAGGGTTCTTTAGCCTCTGTCATGGATGTTTCGGCAGTTGAACACAGAGCCCCCAATCTTACAAGGTTTCCCTAGACCAGTGATCTTCAAACTGAGTGCACACATGTCTAGCGGCACATACAGACATTGAGGGTGGGGACGGAGGCGGGGATGGGGTGGGGGGTGGGCAGCTTAGGGGAATCATTTTCCAGATCCTAACTTCCATATGTCTTACTTCCTGACACTGATCTCCCTAAGAGATCATCTGACATCTGTAGTTTTATTTCCCAACACCCCTTTCCTAATCACCCCTTTCCCACTTCTCAAAAGACAGACACACCTCTCGACCAGCCCCAGGGAATAAAAAATTCTCATAGGTGGGGAAGGAAAACAAAGGGACAATTCAAGAAAGCATAACTCCTGAGGGAGAACATTTGACAGAAACACAAAGAAGGCAGAGATCAGAAATAACAAAGGATCTGCATGTTGTTTTATCCAGTTCCACATCTTTACATCTACCTAACTTAGAATTAAAATTCAGGTGTAAGAGTGCCATCATGTGAAATGCATATATGCATATTAACACATTTATTTGGATTGAAAAAGTTAGACCTTTTCCCTCACAGAAAATAATTTCCATTAGTTTTGCCAAGGAGGACCACCTTTACCAATTCTATCTATGATGAACATTTACGATAAACTGAATGAGCTAAGTGGCAGCCTCAGTTTAACAAAACACATGTATAATATTTAATATTCTTCAATTTAATTTGAAGAAATCACACTCTTCAAAGCTATGTTACATTTATGATAAAAAAAATTAAATCACCTTAAAAATGTGAAGCAATACAAAGATCTTCTAAGTTCTTTTAAAGAGCATGAAAGCTTAAAAGTTTGAAGACCACTGCCCTAGACTTCTCTCTGCTTTATCACAGAAGGAGGCTTTAGGTAGCAGAGCAAACAAAATAAGAGGGGATGGTTCACAAGTGGCCAGCCCTTGTCTCCCAGGACCATCAAAAACACCCTCTGGGGACAAAACCCACTCTATTAACAGAATGTCCAGCCAGGCCCAGCTAACACTGCTGCTGCTCCTGGCTTGCCTCCCGCCTTCCTTTAGGAACAGCCTGGAGTTTGAGCTCTGGCCTCTGCCTTCCTAATATTTAACATTCTCCATTAACTTCTCTCCTCCCCTAAACCATCCGTCCTTTTGTAATGTATCCTTCTCCAAAGTGGCTTTGCCCCCACCGTGTCACTTAATCACCTCTCAACCCTTAAATACACCTCATCTAAGCTAAAATGTCATGGAGGCAACTATTTGCTTACCCAATTCCCAGTGTCATAATATCCCTTTAGGCCCTCAGTGGGGCATTCACACTTTGTTAACGGAGATTTATTTTGGATTCTTAATCTAATGGAGCCTCAAATTTGTGGAATTTCTGGTCATTGGAGAGGATTATGAGCACCATCCTGCCCAAGAAGTAGGGACATGCAGCCTTTGAAGTCAGGCTCTGGGGGAAGGATCCTAGCCCTTCAAATGATCCCTAAAAGAGCCACCCTTCTAGCCAACTCTTCCCTTTATTCTCCAAACCTAATCCTGGATACACTCTCATTTTACTAATTTCCCAGGCTTGGCACCCCACTCATAAGCCTATTCTTTTCCTGACTTAAATATCTAACATTTGTGGAACTTATATACCACACAGAGGCACTCTCAGACATCACCCGTGTGGCACTATCACTCATTCAACTGTACATATGCATCTGGCCCTTAACAGGCAACATCTCATTTAATCCCTCCCAGCCATCCTGTGCACTGCACTTCCTAAATCCACTTGGGGAAACAGGCCAAATTTGCCCGAGGTCACACAGCTAACGTGGATTCAAACTCAGGCTTATTCCTTCATTCTAGTTTTAATAAGCACTAGAATGTGTCAGATACTGCATGGTAACGAGGTGGAGAAGACAAACAGACAAGAGCCTTGCTCTTCCAGATCTTATACTCAAGTGAGGGAGAATTAAGCAAGCAGGTAGAATAAAGTCAGTCTACCTCTTTTCCCCTCTAGTACGCTCCAGGAAACCTTGCCTCAGGATTCTGATTTAGCTGGTATACAGGGAGGAAGTGTGCATGATGACAAAAATGTGGCCTCTGAATGCATGGGTTTTCAACAGTACAGATTTGATTTCAAATCATGGTTCCATTATTTACTACCTTGCACAACCAACTTTATCTAAGCTTCAATTCCTCAACACCTTGGGAATACTCCTTCGCAGGCTTACTACTCTCAGCTTTCATGTTTCAGCTCAAATATCAAATCTAAAGCATATCTCCTCCAACCCATCCCTCCCCAGTTATCTATCATGCTAGTCTACAATTTTATATAACAACCTGAAACATCATAGCTTATTGAGTTACTTGTTCACTGTTCTTCACTACAGTTAAAGGTCTTTATCTAGTTCAAGGCTATATCCCTAGAAGCTAGGAATACTCATGGCCTATAGTAAAGCCTCAATAAATATTTGTTAAATAAACTAAAGCATAAGTCAACCAGGCCAGCTGACAAATGCTTCACAATTTTTTAATCATTTTGCAAACTTACCCCAAGGCTTATTCAAGTTACAATGAATGTCAGTTTGCCCAACTTACCTAATTGATCTGATCTAAGTCCAGCCCATGGGTACCTTTGCCCCACTGAGGAATTACAGGACTCTGACAAGTATGACTTTTTCCACAGAAAGTTCCTCTGGTATTCACTCAGCCCCTGGTAAATGCAAAGTACAATCTGACTACAATGCAATCAATGAACGTTGTTTTAAAGCAGGCATCAGTAAAAATAAATTCTGAACCTCTAAAAGTTGCAAGAGTTAAGACTGATAATTAAACAAAAATCTCCTTAATAATAGCTAATAGTTCACCAACTGGCTTAACTTACTTAGCATAATACTCTACAGATCCATCCATGCTGTTTGGAAGGGTAGGAATCAACAAAATAAACAAGTGAGCAAAATAGAACCAGAGACAAAGAACAAACTAACAGTAACCAGAGCGGGGCTTAACAGGGAAGAGAAGGGGAAGGGTCAAGTCAAGAAACTTATATAAAGAACCCATGGACAGAGACAAGGTTGGGGGAGGATTTAAAGTGGAAGGTGGGGGGTGGGTAGGGCAGGGGAGAGTCATGGGGGGGATGGAATGGGGACAACTGTGTTCTCTGCACAATAAAAAGAAATTTTAAATAATAATAGCTAATATTTACCCAGCCCTGTACTAAGCAGTTCACATGTCATATCCTTTAAGCCTTGCAACCACTTGAGGCAGACGCTAGCCGGAATCTGAGGCCAGCAGTCTACCCTGTTGCTGGCTGTCTGATTCCAAAGCCTGAGCTCTTCTCTAATTACAGTGACAAACTAAATCTTCTTTACTATAATTATCCTAATTAAGGTCTCGAATACACAATATTATGTATTTCGCCTAGTAACTTTCAAAATTGTGTAAAATCAACAACAAAAAAAGACAAATTCTCCTCCCATTCTAGATTCAAACCGTTAAGGCGAAGACAGAATTGGTGGAAAGCTGTGGTCAACTGCTAATGTTGAGGGGTGCTTGACCCTGTCACCTACCTGGAACTTTTAACAAACCAAATACACAATTATGAATAATGTGTATTTCTTATACCCGGTCTTTATCCTGGCAAGGGCCCATCTCTCAAGCCTTTAAAAGGCATTCGCACTTTAAGTTTTAAAGGGGAGAGGTGTTAAACGTCAAGAGGTGTGAAATGGGCCACCCGTGTCCCAATCTGAAGCCCGTTATAAAGTACGCTCCCTCCATCTCCACTCCTCTGAGCCTCCCAGGCCTATCTCAACACCATCTAGCTCTACCACCGGGCGAGAGTGAGCGGAGAGACAGCTAGGAGAGGGGAGATGAACTTCCTCCAGGTCGGTGGCAGGCAGACTAGGGGGCTGACGGGCTCTGCGGGGCCGAGGGGCGCGGCGCAGGAAAGCCTGCGAGGCCCCCGCGCCCCGCACCCGACCTGCCACAGCTCCCCCCCATCAGCCTTCGGTCCCGGGGACCCCGGCCTCACCTTGAAGCGCGCCGGCATGTCGCCCGGCGCTGGAGCCCCCCGAACTCCGACAGTTAACGGGACAAAAAGCCCTGAAGGGGCGGGGCAAACAACATCCGTTCCCTAGCAAAACCCTCTGCCAGGCGTCCCCAACGACGCGCCGGCGCATTCCGCGCTTCCCCCCTCGAGTCCTGCTGCTCTGCCTTTCCCCGCCCATTCTGAAACCTAAAAACCAATAGAAATTTGGAAAACTGCTTGCCGTCATGAAGATTTCCCCAATCGTTGCCCGAAACTGGGACGCCCGCCTTCCGCGCCGAATCCGGAGGACGAAGCCGGAGACGGCGGGCGGAAGGCCAGCCAATGGGGCTCCCGGAACGGCGGTGGGCGGGACCCCGCGGGAGCTTCGTCCACGGGATCGCTCTCAGGCTGCTGGGATCGCGGGCTCCAGCGCCACAATGGCAGTCGCTGCTGGTGGAATTTGTGTGTCGCCGGCCTCGCTGAGCCAGGGTTCCTGACGTCACAAAGCATGAAGGTGTGTTCTTAATTACATAATGTATGACGGACCGAATGCTTGTTTTTCTCAAGTAAAAATGTTTAGGTATATTCCCCTGAATATCAGTTCCTACAACCGAAAGCCCCGTTAGACTACTGAACTGTCACTTAGATAAGGAAAGACCAAAAAATAAATACAACTTAGGCAGGGCAAAAAAAGAAAACGTTTTTATTAAATCTTGAAACGCAAACTGCCGACTTTCCAGTAGTGTTCTTGCCTCTCATAATCCCTTCAAAAAATGTACATACAACTCAGATTAGAAAACATTATTGGTGCTGGTAACTCTCAAGTGTCTCTTTTTTAAAATTCCCTTTGATTTTAATAGACTTGCTATTAATAACATAATTCTACCATTGACAGAACACTGTGCAGACCCTGAGAATTGGTAAGAAGTCACCTAGACAGTTATTTAATATACTTGAGAATATAGATTTATTCAATAATAGTATACTGTATCATGTGGTTAGTTTCCAAATGATAGGTATAAGAGATGGGAGCTTATAAGAATTGGAGGAGGGGTCATCCCTAAGGGCAGAGATGATCAGAAAAAGCCTCCAGAGGAAATATTCAGACTCAGCCTTGAAGATTAGAGGGACTGAAATAAGAGGGAAATGGGGTGATCGAAGGGCAGATAGATGTCTGAATGGAATAGTGCCAGGCTTCTTCCAGGAACAAGGAATTCAGTGGTTTTTACTTTTGTCATTTTGTTGGCTGAAGAAAAGTATATCCCCTCTTTTAAACTTTCAAAAAATTAATGCCAGTGCTTGGCCCGGGGGGGGCGGGGGGTAAAGCATATTGTGCAAAGGCTTGTCTTCCTGAATCCTGATTATATCTCTGTTCTTCTTCATCATCACTAAGATATTTAAAAATTCATTTGAAGGATCCACCTGCTATCTGAAACAAAGAGAATATTAGATTAGTCCCCTTGTGCCATGCATCCAAGGAGGCCCTTGAGAAATGTTAATTGGTGATGACAGCATCTCTGCTGTGTCAATTAAGAATGGTGCAAACAAGGCACAATGGAACATAAAACAAAAGTCCTCTACAGGAAAGCAGCCCAGATCTTACAGGGCAGGAAAGACACAGCTCTGGTTGAGCACAGCTTTGTAACCACGTGATCCTGGGGTGAACTCAGTAAAAGCAAGCATGTGGAATGGAGCCTTTCTACTAAACAAGGGCAGTAATAACTGCAGTAGTAGAGCCCTGCTGAATAGGGAATAATTGACAAGAAAACCAGGCAGCAGATGGTAAAAATAATGTGGTCACAACCTGAATTTGCTAATATGTGTTGAAGGAAGAGAATATTTTACTTTGTTTTTAAATGAAGGCCTACCCCAGTTTTTGAGGCAAAGATGTAGAAATGAAAAAAAGGGACAGCCTTAGCAAATGAGAGTTGAAACCTATTACCTGCTCTTACACTCTCCAATACTGCTGGAAACAGACCCAGTATCCTACAAAGTTCCACCCAAGTGTTTTGGGGCATCCCTAGAAAGTGTCTCACGTGTGCTTACAGCTACCACATAAATGATGCCCAGCAGCACTGCCAATAGCTGTGCTATTCCAGTTGCCACTTATCTGTAGATGTCACTCTTGCTGCTGGCCACCACGGCCACATTTGCCGGGCGCTAGTCTCCCTGGCACAGCAGGAAACCTCCTCAGACAGCCCAACTCTTGGTGATCTGAGGTGAGCCTCTCTTCCTTTTTTGTGTTACCCTCTATTAAGTGAGTACCAAAGTATTGAAAAAAAAACTTTTTCATTTGTATTTTATCCTCCCTTCTCTCCAAAGGGCTCAAAGTGAAGTATGTGGAGTCTGGGCCAGAAAGTACATCTCATTCTATACTCAGATGAGCTTCTCTCTTCCATCAGTTAATTCCCTCTTAGGGGGACAAGGGCTCCCTCTTCCCTTTGTGAATTTCTCTGTTTCTCACCCAGGTAAATTTCTGTTTATTGCCTTCAGGAGACTAAATTGGTACAACCTCTACAAAGAGTAATTGTGCAATCCTTTCTTGCAACCCAACAATTGTAACTTTATCGTGAAATTATTCTTGCCCATATGTGGAAAATATTTATCTGAGCTTGTTTACTGCATTGTCTACAGTAACAAAAATTAGGACCAATGTAAACATCCATCTGCAGGAGACTAGTTAAATACATTACAGTTTCTTTAGGATCCAGGTTCACATGCCAGTGCAGGTGACTCTGCTCCTTCAGGTCTTCTAACCCAGCAGATCCAGGGGTGGTCCCTGTTGGGGTGGACCCCCTTCAGGTTTTAAGTACTATATTCATCAGGGTCCAGCCAGGAAAACAGAAACTATCAAAAACATTTCAACAAATAAAACTTAATATAAGCGTTTGGTTACTCAGTTATCAGAGAACTTTAAAAAGCTGAAAGGAGAAAGAGAATATAGTAATTCCAGGAAGCACCCGGGCCACTGTGTTGGCTGGAGCACTTCCCTGTAGACTAAAAGGTTGTGGGTTCATATCCCAGTCATGGCACATACCTAGGTTGTGGGTTTAAGCCCTAGTCATTTTGTTTACAAGAAGGTAACAAATCGATGTTTTTCTCTCTCATCAGTGTTTCTCTCTCCCTTACTATCTAAAAGCAATTTTAACATGTCCTCAGGTAAGGATTTTAAAAAAACTTTTTTTTAATATTCCAAGAAGCAGTTCACACCCCTGAGGCTGGAAGAATGGAGGGAAATGTTGAGACTACATGAACACAGAAGTATGCTAGAGAGGCCTCATGGTCAGCTCTGAAAAGGGGTTGGTCGCTGGCTGGCTCATGCTGGTACCTCTGAGGGGACAAAATTGGAAATGACAAAAAAAAAGGAAAAAGAAGGAAAAAACCCTGGAGACTGCACTGAACGGCACACAATGGAGTAAAAGGTTACTGTTAAGGTGTTACTGAGAGAAAAAGCATTCTGGTCACGAGGGTCCTTTCTTAGCAGACCGAATAGGAAGCTAGCAAGGTAGGAGCTAAAAAAAAACAAAAACGCAAGGTATAGAAGAGTGTGATACTATACCATAAGTTGGAGTAAACGAAAGATGAAGAAAAGAAAGAAAAAAAATATCATGTAATGACATCTTTCACAGACCCTTCCCCCTCACTCATGAGTTGAACTCCATTAGTAGCAGCTATGAAGATGAAAAACATTTTACTCAACTTATAAATAAATAGAAACTTTAAGGTATTGGTAACTATTATTAGGGCTTTCCTCTTTACATAACTCCTTCCATCGAAGCTTCCTAAATTCACTTTGCTTTATATATATCACAATAAGGCTGTTGCTTCTTTGAGATGAAAACATCAAAAGCCTTTAAAGCAACTTTTATTTGCACTTGAAATATAAATATATTACTCATTCTATTAAAAACAGGAAATGATTGACATCACAAATCTAACACTCTCCCGTTATTTTTTCAAGTAGCAATTAAAACATTGGATGATTTGTAATTGCCTCTAACTATATTTGATTTTATTTAACATACAAAAATTTATTGGATACAAATAAAAGCAGAGTTGAACAACAAGAGTTAAAAGAAAATATACAAAAATGAGTTAAGATGTGGCCCCTGCCTTCATATCTGATTACAACCAATTTGGGGGTACAGACACAAAGACCACAGGAAATGAAAGAGGGAAGCAAGGAAAAGGCTAAATGTGAGCACCCTTCTATTCTGCAGATGCTTTTAAATCTAGTGCCAGAAAGTTCTATGACTGGGGACTAAAGAGCAGACGGGATAAGGGAGCTGCTTTTAAATTCCATCCTGGGAAACACCTGATCTGGAGGACCTTTCACTTCCTCTTTTGTTCTGACCTAGGTAGCTGAATCCAGGCCAGATGATCCTGGGGAAGATTTCACTAACATTTTCTCAATATTGGTTCCTGAAAAGGTAAATTACTTGCTGTCTGTTGTCTGTCTTTTATTTCCTTGTTGCTTCAGAAATCAAAGTAAAGCAGAAACTACAGTTTTCTCAACATTTCAGCCTATATATATGTACTTACATATATATAACTTTCTCGGAAATACTTTACAAGGTAACTTGAAATTTCAATTTCCAGGCTTAGTAAAGCTCTTCAGCTTCTCCTCTGGGGTCACACTTAACTGGACTTCCCTTGGTAATCTTGAGCTTAGCCTTTTGCCAAAAGCTCTCAGTCTGAGAATCACCTAGAAATACTTTCTTTGTCGTTTTCCCATAGGTATTAACTTCTTTTTCTTCATATGAATTTGTGATTTCACAACTGAAAAAAATGAGAAAATTAAATCAGTGAATTCTGTCTCAGAAGCAAAATTGTTGTTGTTGTACCTCAACAACAGTCAGTAAGAATAAGCAGGGTCTATGATTAAGACTTACCAATGAGCCAAGTGCAGTTTGCCCTCCAGACTTACAGCCATGGGTTGCTCTTGTTAACAAAGAACCATCTGCCTTTTGAATCAGTGGGGCACCTTTTGGAGCAATCTAAATTCTCTCCACAACATAAACACAGATACATATATAGATTGTTTGTGTGTGTGTGTGTGTGTGTGTGTGTGAGCCTGAGGGACTCCTAGCCATACGAGGCTATACT